AGAAAAAGCCTGTGATGAAAGATTTCCAGCACGTGGCACTTCCGATTCCAGGGTACTCACTGTTGCGAAGGGCAGGGCCGTTGCATGGCTAATGGGCTCTGCTGCGGTTGTTGAGCCCTACTTGCGGTTGTCAGGTATGTTGGTGCCTTCTACCTTTCAAGAAACTTTGATGTATTTAAAAGCATGTATCTATGTTAGCTAGATCCGAAATCGCAGTGGCAAGCTGGAATCCGTCAAAAGCGATCCGTGAGGGGGCTCCCCCTGACGGGGCTCGTACCGACCACCTGACTTTACCCATAGGCCCCATTGTAGTTCCTTTTGGGGATTCCCTAATAGGATCCTAAATATAAGCCACAAAAAGGAACTACTATCGGGCCTATGGGTAGGGACCATGCGATTTCACGACGTCTGCTGCAAGAAATACCGTGCACAGTGCAATCGCTTTACCGTAAACCCTGAACCCTAAGCCCTAAACCCTAAACCCTGAAGCATCAACCCTTCAACAGAAACCTCAAGTCTCGTCTCAGCACGCCAGGGCCTTCAACTTCCATCCTGTCAGTACATTCTGGCCGTTCGCCCCGAACCTCTCCACCCTAAACCCGAAACCCTAGACCCTAAACCCTAAACCCTAAACCCCAAACCCCTAAACTCTTGGCTCGTCCTTGCTAAGTAGGAGGCAAAAAAGCCCCTAAACGCTAAACCCTTATCCCTAAACCCTAAACCCTGAAACCCCAGAGCCCAACCATCCTGAGCCCCCAAACCATGCAAAAACCCTACACCCTAAACCCCTAATATCCGGGCCTTAGGAATTAGAATAGGGGTTCCTTTAAAAGGACCCTTAAAGGGTTCCAAAGGGGATCTGCGATAAGGTTTTATAGTAGGGGCCTTCAGAATTAGAATAGAGTTTTTCTGAGTTCCTTATTATAGTTCTAGTATAATAGACCCCCAAGCCCTATTCTAATGATTATAAGGCCCTATACTTCACTCTAAACCTCCAAAATCCCTAAACATCCCTGAACCCTAGACCCCGAATCCCTAAACCCCGAATCCCCTAAACCCCGAAACCCCAAACCCCTAAACCTTAAACCCCTAAACCCCGAAACCCTAAACCCCTAAACCCCTAAACCCCGAAACCCCAAACCCCTAATCCTCTAAACCCCTAAACCCCGAAACCCTAAACCTCTAAACCCCTAAACCCCTAATCCTCTAAACCCCGAAACCCTAAACCCTAAACCCCTAATCCGCTAAACCCCGAAATCCCTAAGCCCCTAATCCTCTAAACCCCTAAACCCCGAAACCCTCTCAGCCCCTAAACCCTGAAACCCTCTAAGCCCCTAATCCTCTAAACCCCTAAATCCTTAAACCCCTAAACCTCTAAACCCCGAAACCCTCTGAGCCCCTAATCCTCTAAACCCCCAGACCCCTAAACCTCTGAACCCCTAAACCCTAAACCCTAAACCCTAAACCCCAAAACCCTACACCCTAAACCCTAAACAAAAAAACCCGAAGTTCTGAGGACATCTTCGCTGGAAGCCAAGAGTACGCGGGCGACCTCGAGTTTCAGATGGGCACTGGAGACCACGAGGTTGCAACTCTAGGGTTTAGGGTTTAGGGNNTTTAGAGTTTTAGGGTTTGGGGTGTAGGGTTTAGGGTTTTATAAGGGCTCGAAGGGCTTAGGGTCCGGGGGCCTGAAGAAGCAGAACTCTGGGGGCAAAAACTGTCGTAGTTAGACTTGGTGTTCTTCTGGTTGGCTCTTTAGACTTTA